GGCTAGCAATATGGCTTACAATTCTTTAGGTCAACTGCTTACATATTAATGATTACATATATATATATATATATATATATATATATATATATATATATATATATATATATATATATATAAATATATATATATATATATATATATATATATGAACATTTCATTGAATACGACAGACAAGGTGTTTTGATTTAGTTTTTTTTTTATACAATTTCTCATGAGATCTAATTTTTTTTTCTTTTCAGATGATGAATTATATAAAAACTGTCCGATTTTTCTTTTTATCCAAGCGCTTTCGGCTATAAATTTAGCCATTTTTAAGGTTGAAATATATTAACTGTTAACAAGAAATAGTTTGTTGCATGTATGGATTTATAGAAAGATTTCATTTTCAACTAAAGTAAAGCTCCTTATATGTCGAATTCAATTAAATGTGTCTGAAAGAAGGATTGCTGCCTAAATACACAAATATATACACGCACACACACACACTCGCATACACACACACATACACATACACACACACACACACATATATATATATATATATATATATATATATATATATATATATATTCAATTCATCCCAAGCAAAGAAGGCGATAATGTCACTAAGACGGAAGGTGATACTGGGAGTGAAAGAGAATCAAAAGACTTTAGAAGGAATCGGTAAACCAATCCTAAACAGGAAACAAGGGATAAACATATACTCTTTTTCAAAACACCGGTTAAAGATGTGGACCGACCGATAGGCAAACCTATCTACTCCTATATAAAAGTGGACACTGAGGTCAACATCAAGCGGCAACTGACTGTTGCTTGCTTCAGGCGATGAAACGGAGAGTTGCTCCTTGGTCTTGACCTCAGTATCCACTTTTATATTTACATATAGTCTATCGCTGATATTAAGCACTTTTACCCATATATATAGCATACCTTAAAACTATATTTTTATCACACACACACACACACATATATATATATATATATATATATTTTTAAAATGAAAAATTTACTGTAAATTAATATCTATTTTTGAATTATTTTTATTCCACTCCCAATTACATAGTTTCGTGGTTCATGACAACTTTTCAAAGTTTAAAATGTTTTTATATAAATATCCGTTTTTTATATACTTTTTGTTTTTACTTTGTTAGTGAAGGACGTATGTCCGACGTTCGTTCGTGTTTCCATCAATCCGTTCAAGAATATATTTCCAATACGCAACAGACACGTCTGCGGTCATGCATCCATGTGCGCTCGTAAACGAATCATTTCTAATGTAATTATTTTTCTATTGTATATTTTTAATTATTACATATTTTTCTTATATATTTTGTATTTTCATAATTATGACTTTTCACAGTTGTTTTATATATATATATATATATATATATATATATATATATATATATATATATATTGTCATCCACAGACAGACTGTTTCGCTGTATCACAGCTCATCAGTGTGGCTACACGCCCGGTTGCCTTTCTCTCTCTCTCTCTCTCTCTCTCTCTCTCTCTCTCTCTATATATATATATATATATATATATATATATATAAATAAAACAGAAACCGCAAACGTTTTTGGTTATAATGTGGATTTGTTTTAGTGTATATATTATTTTTTATTCTTTATATTTTTGCTCCTCGTGTTTCCGGTCTCGTGATCTTCTTCAAGAAAATTAAAGGAATCAATTTTTAAAAGAATGAAATTTCTTTATGTTCTTTTAATATTTCATTGTTCATTTTCTGTATTTGTAGTCAGCCTTGATCTCGTTTTTGACTTTTTGGCAAATGTGACTTTCTACCTAAGTGGTAATAAAAATTCATTAGGTTTAGTCTTGGTGGTGAAGATGATAGTTGTCTTGATGATAAAAGTCCCTCCCATCTACACATTTGTGTATCGTGATTGAGTGTGGTTGTCCCCCGCTAGCTTGTACATGAATCAATACACACACACACACACACACACACACACACACACACACACACATATATATATATATATATATATATGTATGTATGTATGTATGTATGTATGTATGTGTGCGGTCCGACCAGTGTATCTGGACATCATGAGTGCATGCCATGTGTCCATGTGTGTGGGGTTATATTCTGTTTAGTGCTCGTTTAAATTTGTCTATGAAGATTTTTCTTGAATTTGCAAGAAAGATTAGTTGTCTGTTTGGTATATTGGCATAATTTTAAATTTACATTGATTGCATTCGTAGATGTGTCGTGATACAAAAAGATTTCTGTTGTCGAGTAATTTTAGATTGTTTTGTGAAGGGAAATTCAGTGGTTAAGTGCTTGAATCATGCCTATATATGACTTCTTGCATTTTGTGCATTTGAGTGCATAAATCACATTTTTAGAGTTGCAGTTTAAATTTTTATTTATTGTGAATGCAGTTGTTGGGTTTTCAAAGGTGTAGAAGTTCCTTTCTATGATGACATCACATCTATTTTGTGGAATTTTGAGACCCCCCCCCTGTATACTGTGTTGGTTAAATTTGGATGTGGTTAAAATATAGTGGCCTATGAAAAGTTTTTAGCCAAGAGAAATAAATTATATCCAATTTCAAAATTTACTTACGTAATCCCAACTCAACATAAATAAACAGTATTTTCTGATGCCTTTCCTCTTCAGAACCATTTTAATTCGCTCAGAAACGATGCTTGGTCTTACTGAACGTTGTTACACACGACAATGGCCTTCTTCATTAACTGTCTTAAGTGACGTTATTAAACAATACAGAACAAAAATTTTATATAGAAACTCCTGAAACAACGTTTAAGAAGAGATTTAACAATCATAAAATTCAAATTAAATAGATACGCAAAAAATACAACATTATCTAAATATACCCATAAAAATCAAATGAGAGAAAATACAAAAGTATCTTCAAGTAATATTAAAAATAGAACATGTAAATTATGCCTAGAATAAAAATTATATATAATAAATTTTAACCATCAAATCAAATTATTAAACAAAAGAAATTAACTAATGGGTAAATGTAGACATTTTAACAAATATCTACTTTGTAACTTAAACACAAATATAACATAATTTTCATAAATTTTAACAGATATCTAATTTTAATTTTGATATATATAGATGTAGGAATCATATATATATATATATATATATATATATATATATATATATGCGTGTGTGTGATTATATTAGAATCATATAATATAACTAAAATTAAATAATACAAATTATATATATACAAATATATATATATAAACAATGAAAAGTAATAATTATGAAAATAAAAAAAATATAATAAAAATGAACAATGAAAAATATACAATAGAAAAACAATTACATTAGAAATGATGAGTTTATGAGCGCGCATGGAGGCATGAACATACACTCGTCTGTTACGTATTGGAAGTATACTCTTGAACGGATTGATGGACACGCGAGCAAACGTCGGACATGCGCTCCTCACTGAATAAAAAAAAACCACAAAAACATAAACAATGGGCATTTATATAAATAGATTTTAATCCTTGAAAAGTGGACATGAACCACGAAACTACGTAGTCGGGAGAGGAATGAAAATTATTCAAAAATTGATATTAAGTTACAATAAGTAAATTTTTTAATTTAAAAAAAAAAACACATTACGCTGTATTATATTCTAAATACTGAGCACTTTTAAAAATTGACTTTTTAATAATTTAATCCTTATATATATATTCTCCCAGTCTACGTCTCAGAATTTAAAAAAATCTCTTCTTGGTTGGGCAGAGATCTTTTCAGCAAACGCTTGTCTCTCTCTCTCCTTCCTTCTCCTCCCTCTCTCTCTCTCTATCTATCTATCTATCTATCTATCTATCTATATATCTATCTATCTATCTATCTATCTATGTGTGTGTGTCTGTGTATGTGTGTGCGCATATGTTTCTGAATGATTAATCTATTGTTAATAATAAGTTCTAGAGCAAGCTATTTTTCAAAATCTAATTTGGTCAAACTGAAAACATTTCAGCACAACTTCATATATTGTGTATATGTTTTAGTTCAAAATGTTTGCATAAATATTAATGTCTTTGTGAGCAATGTAATAGAGTTAAATGTAGGATGTAAGTGTACATCTTTATTTTTGGAAAATGTGCTTTCATAAGAAGCTCAATTCTTGTGGACGTGAAATGTTTAGGCAAAATTAAAATGAATGCAAAACTAAGATAACGAATCGAAAGCATAATAAACAAAACAAAATCGCGTGGAGAAGCAAAACAAATGGTAGAAATGATCGAGTGTGCTTAAATGTAATCCTGGCTATAGTAATCATGACAAGATGGAAAAATGTTTGTCTTTAGTGACGACGATGAAAAATAAAAATAGAATCACAAGAAAAAGCAAATCTAAACGTATCCCACAACATGAAATAGCAATGTTGATAATACTCAAAAAATATCAAAGACATAAAATGGCGCAGTTGATAGCGACGCTGTAAACGAAACTGTAAAATGCTCTGGGATTTTGCGATTCAGACCGACCACACCATTCTAACCAGACTGTTGACGTGAACAAGGAAAAGGAAAGCGTAGCAGATCATAGACGTATTTGTTTCGCTGGATTAAAGATAAAAGAACCCTCCACCACCACCCGAAATGAAATAAATAAAAATAAGTTTCATTCTTGGAAACAAGACATGCTGGAGAACTTGTGGGTTAGGATATTTCCTATAATAACTACCACACTTGCATTGGTCTCCAAAACCCGAAGTGGAAAATTAAGAGGAATTGTGAATCCAAGCAAGAGTTTGCAAACAGTAAATAATAATAATAATAATAATAATAATAATAATAATAATATCAGTGGGTACGTAGTGCAGGGTTAAAAGTTGAAACCGAAGGTTTTATTCTTGCTGCACAGGAACAGTACTTGTTAACTAGAAATTATCAAGCACACATTATGAAAAATTGTGTTAGTCCAAAATGCAGATTCTGTGATAAATATCCAGAAACAATTGACCATCTTGTATCAGGTTGCGCGGTATTGGCACCCACTGAATATTAAACACGTCACAATTACGGAAAGGAAACAGCAAGAAATTGGTTATGAACACCACCCAGACCCAGTTACGGAGATAGGACCTGTAACAATTTTATGGGACTTTACAATACACACAGTCAGAACAATCAAAGCTAATCACCCTGACATTGTGATTAGAGACCGAAAAGACAAAATGTGCCTCCTTATTGATATTGTTGTCCCTGGAGACTGCAATGTATCTTTGAAGATCTTTAAAAACAACTATCAAAATATAAGGACCTTGAATCGAAATCTGAAAAATGCGGCACATGAGGACATTAACAATTCCAGTTGTAGTTAGAACCCTCCCGGTTGATTGGCAAAAGGTTCCAATAGACTTATTGAAGGGATCCTTGGCATCCCATGCCTTAAAGAAATACAAAAAAATTGTACTTACAAGTACAGACCAAATCTTACGAAGGGTTTATCTATAAGTGCGATTTTTTTTTTTTTTTGCAAAACTGCAGAGTGGAAAATGTCATGATGCCATTTCTGACCCTAGGTTCCTGGTCGAGACCCGGAAAGAAATAAGTACACACCAGAAATCAAAGGAAATAATAATAATAATAATAATAATAATAATAATATCAGTGGCTGAGGAGCACCGGGTTAAAAGCTGAGACAGTAAGCCTAATTAAGCCTCGCAACCAGATCCTACCACTATCACATAATCAAGGATGGAACTAACCCGAAATAAAGGATCTGTGTAAAATATGATGAAACTATCGACCATATTATCTCGGGATGTCCGAAACTAACAAAAAATGAAGATACCGAAAGACATAACAAGGGAGCGACATATGTGCACTGGTAGATATGCAAGAAGCACAAAACCGAAACCACTGAGCACCGAGCAGACGCAGTTACCCAAACTAACGATGTAATTATCCTGTGGGATACTCAAACTGACAGGAAAATAAGTCAACAGACCTGATATAATCATAAAAGACAAGAAATTGAGGATTTAAGTGTGTGCTTATTGACATAGCAGTATCATCTTAGAGGAAAACCTCCGTGAAAATTATCGAGAAATTCTCCAAATACAAGGACCTGGAGATCGATATTAACAGGATGTGAGCAATGAAGACTGAGAATGTAGCAATAATAATCGGAGTTCTGGCTCTCGTAAGAAAAGAAATGGACAATTTTACTAACAGGTAACATCAACATACAAGTTGCCCAGAAAATCGCCCTACTAGGAACATCCCATATCCTAAGAAAAGTGCTATCAATTAAATGACAATTCTCCTATAGGGCCCAAGGACTATAGTTTGCACCCTGCTCTACAGGATACAAAGCAGTCAACATAACATACACAAATGATGATGATGATGATAATAATAATAATAGTAATATCAGAAGCCACTTGAAACATTGACTCAACACAAGATTCCTACTCCTTTGAATACATTCGTGTATTTGTAGAATCTACAGTACTTTGAGACAAACTTAGTGAATATATAAAAATGAGTTTATGCTCAGAGTCAGGATAATGCCACATTTTAAATGCTGAATTTTGTGATAAGTAAATGTTTTTTTTTTAATTTAGCAGTACTTTTGTGATATTAGTTAAGTATAGTTAAGTATGTACACACAAACGACCCTGCAGTATGGAGATGAGAGGTCAAAAGCTGTGTTTCGTTTGTTATAAACACATGTATAAAGAGAGGGAGTTAGTTTTAATCAGCCACAAAGAAAAAGGCAATCATTCTGAATGAATTGTATTTGTAGACATAAATGGAAGGATATCACACCAACAGTCAAATTCAGCAAGTTTATAGAGACAGTTGAAATTTCTGAGAAACATTATGAGGAAAGATTGTGTGAGGAATTCAACACTCACAAGATATACTGTTAAGCAAGTTAAATGGAGAAACAGTGAGTAAGCTACTTAGCGAGTTTGTGTGTGTAGAGAGCAAAACAAGGTCAAAGATGGTAAAGAGTCAAAAGCTACTTAGAGCCACAAAAGTCCCAAAAGGACATGTGCATATGTGCCATATTTTATTGACTTATATTTTGTAATAAACTAAAAAAGGCTGCACATATATGAGCAATCTGAATGAGTCACATTTGTAGTTAATCCAGGAATTATATAGACACAGCTGAAATATATGAGATACATAATGAGGAGAGAGGGTTTGGAAAAATTAACACTCACAAGAAGAGAAGCAGAGATATACTGACAGTGAGTAACCTACTCTACATGAATGAATGGCAGAACAAAGACAGAGAAAGACGATAAAGAATCAAGACGTTTGTATTTTGTTACATATTTTAGTGCTAGTTAAGCATGGACAGACAGCATACTTTCCAGCATAGGGATGAAAAGTCAGTGTGAAAAGTTGTAGTTTTCCTTGTTACAAAAACATGTACAAAGAGCGGGAATTAGCTTAAATCTGTCACAGGGAAAAAGGTAATCATCCTGCATGAGTTGCATTTGTAACCATAAATGGAGGCATATCACACCAGCAGTCCAATTCCGTAAGTCTATAGAGAGAGTTGAAGCTTCTGGGATATATAATGAGGAAGGATTGTGTAGAGAATTTAACACTCACAGGACATATTGAAAGAAAGTAAAATGGAGAAACATTAAGTAAGCGAGTTTATATCTGTGGATGATAAAACAAGATCAAGGATGGTAAAGAATCAAAAATTACTTAGAGTCTCAAAAGTCCCGAAAGAACATGGCACATTTAACGGATTTATAGTTTATCGATAAGTTTAATAAAATGTTCAGTGAGAAAAAAGATCATTTGTCTCAATCAACTTAAGAAAAGATTTTAAAGGTATTTTTATTTTTCATGTCCAATGACTTCAGATTGTTTAATACTGAGTATAAAACAAGAAGAGAAGTCAAATTTAAAGTATTGTACAAGGTGACCCCCCAAAACGGGAACTTTTTAACAATCCAATAAAATCAAGAGTGATGGAACAAAAATATTTTATTCATAGTAATTGAAACCTTGAAACATGCCATTTAAGAAACAATGGTGGAATATTCATTTTTTAAAAAACTACGTCCTGTAAATGGTGCCCTTCTGTACGAATGCATTCTTGAAATCTGCTGTTGAGATTTCTCATTGACTGCTGCAACATCTCAGCTGGGATACTGTGTTTACACAACTCGACCAAGAACTTTGGATGAGTTAAAACAGAGAATTCAAGATGAAATTTTCAATATATAATCAGCAATAAATTTAAATATTAAATTTTGTATATGTAGATTGTAATGTTTATACAAACATGCAGTGAAAGAAATTTGCAAAATTTATGGCTTACTAATGCATATTGACCCACTATAAAACATTTGCTAGAAAAATTAAAAGTGGAAATAAAAATTGTGATTGCTTTCTCTGGAAAGCAATCACAATTAAATATTTTGAACATTTGTCGATATTTACCAATATTACCGGATGAGTGAATTGTAATCTCAGTTTATCATATCAACAAAAGGAGTAAAAATAAGTTGTGAAACGGCTGACGATCTAATTCATAGAGATATTATTAGTAGAAAAGGACAAAACAACTCGCTATTCTATAGCCTTAAGTAGCGTTCATTTTATTTTAACGTAAAATGGAGAGAGAAAAAGAAACAGAACCAGTGATAAGATTTTCTCATTTTAATTCGTTTGACCATTTTCGATGGTACACAAAAGCAAAGAAGTAATACAAACGAAATGTCGACTGGTCTCATTTATTTTCTCTGGTCAAATTCACCTCAGCACGTTCCGACATGCTCTTAGTTGGTCACGTATTGTGTCCTATAATCCCGTCATGTTAATGAATGTGATAGATATGCCCTTTGATGACATCAGCCATGACACATTTTG